AAAGTAGCTAGCTCCCGCTCTCGCTCCTACCTTCAAAAGGAGCTAGCTCCCGCTCCCGCTACTACATTTTTAAAAGGAGCTAGCTCCTGCTCCAAGTAATGGAGTGCCACTCCATGCTCCTTTGATTTTCATTTTTTTAGAAGGTATACAAAACAAAATCATATTTTTTTTTTCAAAAAGCTTTATTTATATTAAATGATCTATCAAAATATTTATAACCTTTTATTAGCTTTTAAAAGTAATAAATTTTCTAAATTAGAATCTAACAAACATCCACGCCTCTCCCCTAAGATCTGTTTTGCAATGCTAAATAGGCACTCCACAGGAGTACTAGAGGGAATCGATTTTATAAAGATATTTTTTTAATTCAGGGAATTTATCAAAGATAGTAATTTTGATATTTTAAAAAATATTTGTCCAATATATTATCTGGCTGATGATCAATTTCATGGAATCCAAAAAAATCTTCCAAATTAATTTGTATTTAAAAGAAAGATTTTTTACTTTTAGATGCTTTTTTAGATTGAAGCTGCTCACTTTTGAAAATTAAATAGTTTTATTCAAACACAAAAGACATTTTGCCCTAAATTTGTTTGATCATTTGGATCAACATCTTTTAGAAGTTTAAAATATTTTTTGTATGATGGAAATGGAAATTCGATTTCTTCATCTATGATCTCTAAATCCATAATATCTAAAACTATTTTTTATTATTTATCTATAAAATGAATATTAATATGACTTACAAGATTTTTCAAAAAATTTTCAATATAAAAAGGAAAACTTGATGTTTAATATTTAAAATGATTAGATGAAAAACCAATATAAAACTCGGCTAAACATTTAATAATGGATAAATTTAAATTAAATAAAATTTCATTTTTATTGAATTTTAATTAATAAATATTATTAATATTTAAAAAATCATTTAATTTATACACTAAATTTAAAGGAGCGGTGGAGCGGCGCTCCTCCACTCCAGCCCTAAAAGGAGCTAGCTCCCGCTCCCCAATTTTGGAAAAATGTAGCGCTCCTGTAGCGCAGCTCCTTAACAACTCTGTACATATTCTTTTAAATTATTGTTTATAGTGTTATATTGTATACATTTTTTGGTAAGTGGGAGGGATCCTAGTGATAAAATTTTTATTCGCATAAAATGATATCTACAAAAACAATCAAATTTTTGAAGAGTAAACCCCAAGTCAACCCCCCTTCCCCACCTTTGCATATTCCTATGTTTACCTATATATTAAAATCATTTTTCAGCCAAATGTGTCATTGCAAGTCAAATTTTTGATGAGCAATCGATGTCTTTTAAAATTGCAAAAAATTAATAAAATAATTTTTAATCAATTAGAATAAACTATATAATACACTATAATAATAATATATATATTATAGTCAACACATATTGAATATGTGAAGTTAATCCCTATCATATATTTTCAGATTATTTTTTTTTGGAACTTAAAAATGAAAATAATATTATAGAATATAGTTTTTAAAGAAAATATTTTTACACATATTTTGACGATATTTTTTGGATTCACAAATTAATTTTATAAATAAAATATTTATATTCAATAAATTATATATATATTATGATATGTATACATATGAAATTATTTTTTTATTAAATATTTTATTATATATTTCTTTTTTTTTATTATACTACTAGATGTATAATCATTTTAATGTTTTATTTTTTACATATAAAATCAATAAAATTGAATATAAAATAATAGTTAATATTCATGATTATCGCAAAACACATATATACTAATAAAATCGGTAAAAATTGATATATAATGCCTTTTTTATTATATAAGTTATCTTTTAAAACTATTTTAAAAGTCCCTTTCGTTTGTTTCTTTATGATTTAAAGATGTTAAAAGAGGAGTATGTTTTCGCTCGTGATAAATAAAAGGTTCAAAGATTGCTTTCAATCAAATAAATTTAATATTAATGTGTATCCCAAAGTAAACATTAGACGATAAAATAAAATTGGAATTAACAAGCTATAATAGGGTTTTATCTAGATAATTTTAGATCAAAGTCAATTTTTTGGCCAGTTAACCCAACATAGTGTTGAGTAGTCATATATATGGGAGACGGGGCAAGGTTAGGATCCTTTTCGTTTAAATCTGAATGAGTTCCATACTATTAAACGAAACAGAATAAATAAAACAATTCTGAAATATCAAAATATAAGCTATTTAAAATTATTAATATATTTTTTAAACTGGTTTTTAAAATAATTTTTTGCATTCAACGTACCTCATAGTATGGTAGGTTGGTCCAGCACATGTTATTATTTGGTCCACCAAAGAAATGAGGAGGATCTAAATATAAAATTAACTTTGCAATAATTAAGTAAATGAAATTCAAATTAGGTTTTTTATTAATTTTAGAAATTTATATAAAATGAAAAATTTTAAGTATTAATGTATAAATGAGGGAAATAGTAATTTAAGCAATTTATCAATCATCACTATAGTTGGGTAATGGCTGAATATTGTCAAATTAGGCTCAATCTACAATACATGACGCAGAAAATCCGTTAACATTAAGGGGTTTTAATTTATATTAGTTTCTTCCAAATTTGAGCTCCTATCTTTTTTAAAGAAAACCCCGAAGTCAAAGTGAGTCTAAAAACTTTTTTAGCCTCTTTTTGGCCGGCTAAAAAATGGTAAACGGCTAAAAATATCGTAATTACCCATCACTAATAGGAGATACAACGATATTGAATATATTTTTTATTACATCCAACCCATATTTGGACCGTTATATTTATATGAATCCCAACTTGAGCCCCGATACTCATTTAGTTTTGGATCCATGGTTTAAATCAGGGGTTCGAACCGAATCCGAACCCGGAGATGAAAACCCAGGTTTTTAGGAAAATATCCGAACTGAACCTGAACCCCGTTTATAAAATTTTCAAAACCCTGAACCGAACCCTGGAATTTTATTAGAACCCTGGTTCAACCGGGTTCAGTGTATTGTTTAAATTAATATAAGATATTTGTATAATTGTAAATACAAATATTAATAATTTACTTGACATTTTATAATATCTTCAAATTTCCAATAAAGTGAAGTGTTAATTTATTTTAAACAACTTAATTCATTTACTCCATTTTTAAATTTTTTTAAATTTATTCTCAAAGATTCCTATTGGATGTTAATAAATTTTAAACAATTAAATTCATTTACGCCATTTATTTTTAATTTTTAACTTATTCTCAAAGATTATTAATTAGAGGAAAATGAAAGTGAACAAGTCAAAGTAAAAATTATTATATTGGATATTGTTAATTTAAAGAAATACGTCTAAATAAATTTTTTTATTAAATCTATACATGACTATGCTTTGTGTTTTTAACTATATTTTGCCTATAAATAAAATAAAAAAAATTTTTTTATACCAAATTTTCTAGATTTTTAATTGTGATTTAAATATAGAATATTTTTTTTATTAATTTAAAAATTCTTAAACCCGAGCTGAACCCGAAACCACACCCGGGTTCAAAAATATTTCCCTGAACCGAACCAAAACCGAACCCGCCTATTTTTTTAGCCTTAAACCGAACCTGGTTTAAATTAATCATGTTTGTTAAAAAGGTATCTTCGGCGCCCCTACATTTATTTTTATAAAATTATCCATAGCTTATAATACTATACAAGGTCTTTGAATATGCTTTTCTCCCCTTCTCATATATTTTATAAATTGAAACCAAACATATAATATAGTTGGGAATAAAAACGAATTCAATAAATTAGTCGTTAAACCTTGCAATGATGCCTATATACTTTTTAAAATAGATTATACTCTCTTGCGAGATATGATGTGTGTACCATGAAGAGGAGTAATAATTTTGGGATTGATTTTTACAATAGCACATATAAACTATTTTTAAAATTGTATTGGGAAATGGTGTCCAAATTATATCTTTATTTTTTAATTTTTTATTACACTATTTAATTTATATAACAACCATATATAATATATACATATTTAAATAAGAAAAATTATAATATAAAGTGTATATATAAAATTAATCAATATTTTTAATAGTTAACTCTAGAAATTCCAGAAATGAACATCCGAGATATATAAGTTCTAAAATTTAAAAAATATATTACAGAACATATATTTAGAGAGACTTAATATTTGAATTAATAAAATTATTTTTTTATAAAAAAAAATCCAATATTATATAATGTCTTTATATATTTTTTATTTTAAAATTTTTTTCGTCTATATCTTTGCCCAAAAGAAAACTAGGAGGGGGTATTTTATAAAATATATAAACCCTAGAAAGTCGATTTTGTTTAAAAAAATTAAAAATAAAATATATTTCGTGCTTAATCAGTAATTCAAAAAATATAAAATTATAATATATAATATAAAATAGAATAAAAATAAGGAATTTTTTAACCAAAAACTGCGAAAAAATTTTTTTTATCTAAAAACATGCAATTAAATTATTATATTATAATATAAGTATAACTAAACTAGATTATTCAACGTAAAAAAAAATTACGAATACGATGTGTAATTTAATTTATAATAATGATAAAAATGCTTCAAAATGTATATTGATATTGAAATGAAAAACTTCCATACCTATGAAAATTTTATATCTTTCGTTATTTTAAGATATTGCTACTTTTTTCAAAAAATATTATGAAATTAATAGTAATGGATTTAAGAAGTGTCACTCATTTTATATGATATATTTTAATATTTATTATTTAATTTTTTATTATTATATTATTTAATAAAATTTATATTTATAGTATAATAAAGTTTGTAAAATAAAAGTTTGTTTTGTAAAGTATCTAATAATTACCTCTGATAATTTATTAATAAATTTATGTAGTAAAATATTCCATTTTTTTTTAAATATGGAAATTAATAACCAAAGATGTAATAATGAATAATTAAAGAGTTAATTTTTAAGTAATCTATATACCTTTTATCTATGATTCAAAAGTAAAATAAGATGCTCAAGTTCAATTCCCAATCAATGCTTGCTAACGATTTTTATACATCCCTACGATGAATATTATAGAGTCCTCTTCGGCTAATTCGATAAATTATGGGATATCCTCAAACGATACCAATTTTTATAAATATTCTTCCTTTTTCTACGATATTGATCACTTGCCAAATCATCATTCTAATTTTATCGTAACAACGAATCCATCTTATGTTCCGACATTTTTATTCGCATCTTATCCAACTCAAGATCTCATCTCAACTGATTCTAAGAAATTCAATAAAAAACAAATGGAATTAAATTATGAAAACTCTTCCTCAAACATTAATAATTCGTTCCACGTGAATATTACTCAAAAATGTAATATTATTAAAAATGATAAAACAGATGTTAATATCAAAAATTCTAATAATAACTCTACCACAGATAACAGAGGTCTTGAAACGGAGGACATCCTTATGGCCGATTGCAATGATTTGCCACCGATAATTTTGAATCACCACGCTCAAAATCATAAGAATATTAAATATAATGATAATCAAAATAAAGGCGATAGCATATATTCTAAAAATTCGAAAGCCTCATCAAGTATCTATAAAGAATTAATCTCAAAACATTCCTCTCAAATTCATAAAGAAAGAATTGGCGATATTCATTACAATCAATACGGAACTAATTATTCCCCTTTGATAGGAATGGATCAAGATGATTCACATGCACAAAAGTTGGAACAAAGAAAATATTCCCTTCAATTTAATTATACTGGATACAACTCTGATAAAACTATACTAACCCCTTTAGGTGCTTTTACAACGGTGTCTAATTCTACATCTTCGCTGTCCAATTTAACTTTCGGTAGTATAAGTGTGGGCTGTAATAATTTTAACTATATCCAACATCCCTTTGATAGTTATTCTAACTCAATGACAAATCCGCTGCAATCCTATAATAATATCAACGAATCATCGTGGACAACTAAAACAAAGTCAGTTATAAAATTAGATGACCCTTCATCTTACAACAATGAAGTCAAAAAGGATGAAACTGGCCAAAACATTTACAATTATTATCCCTTATATCACAAGGACACAATGTCAAATTCGGCTAACTATTCATTTTGCAATGTTTCAAAAAACATCAACGTAAATTCAACCCTACATCTATACAATAACAGTAATCAAAACCTGATTCCAAATAAATTGCCATCTTCCGCATATTCACCTTTGGATAGCTATTATTTATCTAGTTTTACAAATTTTAAACCTTATCTCAGTTTTCAGTGTGATCCATTGCTAATTAATCCATTAACCCAGGTTGATGAATGCGCGAAAGATTTGATGGATAAAACATCTAAAACGTTTGATTTGATGCACAGAGACACATCAAATAACAGTTATAGTAATACGGTAGATTACAATACTTATAGGAACAGGGTCCATTTCACCAATATAATAACTGAATCCAATATTGTATCATCATCCAATAAATCGCATATAAATTATCCATTTACATTAAACCCTTTTGAAAATAAATTGTCGCATACCTTATTAACAACGGATTCCGATTATACCTTACTAAAAAATTCGATGTCAAAATCAGGCATGCAAACATCTTCCATAGCAGTTTCGAATGATCTTCATAAACAATATCATTCGCATGAATATCATTATCCTCCACACTCAGATTTAGCCTACGCCAAAAATGACCAAATTATCAATAAATCAGTTGAATTTGCAAAAAGTAGTCCAGTCGATTTTATTACATCCAAAAATATGGATTACTATCCTTACTACATGAAAAGATTTTACAATTACGAAAAAACGGCCTACAACAATAAACAACAAGAGATGATGATTTATAATTACAACAATATGTACAGCAATTATAACCTTAAAACGAATAAACCCTTCAATTCACAATGCCTAAATCCTTCGCATGTTGTTGGGGAAGTTAACGAAAATACTAATTTAAATTATGACCCCTTTGCGACAAAATGTCAAGAAACATTAACAAGCGCCTTATCCCCATCTTTTTATACCTATAATCCATACAACTTAATGCAAAAATACGGACCAGATGCGTCACCATACTTAAGCTCTTCCAAACCGTATTCAGATTTGCGAAGCAATTTGCCTGGTTCAGCAGAAATTTCAGTAAACTATCAGCACGAATATTATCCTTTGCCATTTACAGGGCACGTTTTTCCTAAGGAAAAAAATGAAAATTACTCTTTTAATGAATACCATAACTTGAGCACTGACAACTTAAACTCTAAGGAATCCATGTTTCTGGAACCAACATACATAAACGTCGAAAATAGTAGAAGTATAAATTCACCCAAGTCATCCAAGGACACTAACAAAAAGGGTAAAAATAAAAAATCTAAAAAATCAAAGTGTAACAACCATCACACTAAAATTGAAATTAATAATGATACAGGTATTTGTGATAAAAATTTTTACGATGAAGATAACGTTGGATTTGAATATAGTTCAGAAAGGATAGAAAATATAACAAATAATTCCAATGATTTAACGGTGCAAATAGGCGATGCAAAGACCCCAACTATTCGACAATACAGCGAAAATATTTCAAATTCTAATGATAAATTAAATAAAATCAACGATATTTCTTTGAATGATTCTAATACAATAATAAGTTATCAAAATAATATAAACAAAAACTCAGATATTTATCAATCTAAGAGTCCGAAATCAAATGAATCTCGTCAAGCCGTATCTATGGCACACGAAGACGATCTCAATTATATGAATTCTAGATATGAACACATGGATAATATGTTCAATGAAAACGACATGTGCGACGATGATGAATCTGAATCATTAGACAACATCCCTGGCATGCCAGGATCTAATAATAATCCTAGTTCAGATGACTTAGAACAATTTGCTAAACAGTTTAAACAAAGAAGGATCAAACTCGGCTTTACACAAGCTGATGTTGGTTTAGCTTTGGGCACATTGTACGGGAATGTATTCAGTCAGACCACTATATGTAGATTTGAAGCTTTGCAGCTAAGTTTTAAGAACATGTGCAAATTAAAACCATTGTTAACTAAATGGCTCGAAGAAGCCGACAGTAATTCAGGATCACCGAGTAGCATAGATAAAATTGCGGCTCAAGGACGAAAGCGAAAAAAAAGAACGAGCATTGAAATATCCATTAAAGGGGCTCTAGAACATCATTTTATAAAGCAGTCTAAGCCATCAGCCCAAGAAATATCTTCCCTAGCGGATAGCCTTCAACTCGAAAAAGAGGTGGTGAGAGTATGGTTCTGTAATAGGAGGCAAAAAGAAAAGCGGATGACGCCCCCCGGTAGTAATAACAATCATTTATCGGGTTCCCTTAATCAGTACAACCAGGTGAGTAGTTTAAGCTTCAGCGAAAACGAGACAAATCATATTGAAGATGAAGAAGATGAAAATGATGAGGAGCTTGGCATTGATAAAAATAATAGCCTATACCATCCATCTAACTATAAATGTCAAGATGATGAACCCAATCATACTTCTTATCTGTCGCAAATGGATAAGAATCCATACAATTATAATTATAGTTCACCCCCAGAAAAAAACAGCAATAGCAATTATCTATTCTCCGATCATGCCTCTCCAAAAAGTTTCCCACCTAAAGATGGTCAGGATCCCGAAACAAATATCCCACCAAGTAATAACGATTTATTATATACTAATGTGGATCAACAGGATAAATATAACGAATTTATGAAACCAACTCTAAACGATACTTCGTTTTCTACGCCAATTTTATATAGCGATAATGCAAATTATAATAATTATGGGTTAAACGTATTACAAAATTTTAGAGAATCTTTAAACATCCTCACTGATCATAATTTATCACAAGATAAAGATGTGCCTTCAGATGTCAAAAATTTAATAGCCTCAACGTCAAATTCTAATATTGGTAATATTGACTCGACAATTCCTCAATTCCACAAATATACCAACATAAGTCCACAAAAGCAGAACTTTTGAAAAAGTTTGTATTTCAAATTAATTTATTTTACCATTTAAAAAAAAGATTGATATTTTATAAAAATTTATACATTTTTATTTATTACAAAAAATTTGACAGGTCCAACCTGGGTCTGCAATCTCAGTATTAATAAAGATGTTTCAGGGTCGAAATGAACAAAATTTATTTCTAGAAGAATTTATAAATCTAACAATAGCTAATTGATATGAATATTGGAGCTAATATACTATGGGAAGCTAATATAATTTTAACATATATTTTTTAAATTTAATTATAGAATTAAAATAAAATATTGTGAATAATAAATAATGTAATAAAAAAATATTTTACATCTTTTATTTATATAATAATATACTTCTAAATATAATATATTACTACATACTTATACTTAACCAATAATTAGCATCAGCGGCTTCTACCTCGGAGGGGGTAAGACGCAGGATCGTCATTAAAATCTTAGCAGGGGGATAGGGGAATATGACAGGATCTCGTGGGCGAAACAAGGAAGTAGAAAAAATTGAATTATTGAATCCCCTTTGTTCTAGTTAGGGGCATAAATTTCTGTAGAGGTGGGGGGAGGGGGGGATTATTTGGAAGTAGGGGTAAAAAAAATTGAGGGAGAGTGTTAATTATCAGTGGCTTAGGGAGGTGGAGAAACCGCTGCTTTACTCCGGGGGAGAAGTATTACCCATTAACTTAAATATCCAAGGGTAGATATCTTTTAAATATGATTTTTTTTATTAAGCATGTTGGAGGTAGTGGAAGCCATGGCAGAACTGAACAGGGCGCATGTCACACTTCAATTAATATAAAAAGTCAAAGTATAGAGAATGAAATTTTATTTAAATTATAGATAATTATGATAACATATAAAACATTATATTATCAATATTAGCCTTATATAAAGTGATCAGTAAAGGCATGTTGAAACAGAACAGGTAAAGTCATTTTTTTCCTATCATCTATTATTTTTTCCTATTTTCTGTTTAAATTCAACAGGGTTCACTACTATATTAGAAAAAACGGCACCATACTAAAGTTGTTGATGTTGTTTATTTTGAGCAGACTTTATAGATTATATACATTTACAAATTAAAATGTATTTACATTTATATTAGATAAAATAATTTAGGAAAATCATTATTTTAATGTGTTTGTTCTGATATTAGTTGATAGTATTAGTCAATATTTCTAAATTTTATAAAGATTTTTAGAATTTCCGTCTCTATATATTCATTATGCCCAGCCAAAAATTATGAAAAGCTGATAAGAGGTTGTTTATGCCAACGACCCGATAAATGGACTAAATTATACTATTTTTAAATATTTATGAAATAAAGAATCGGGGATGTTATAAAAGACTTAACAGATAGGCCGAGATACGAGAATGCCCAACTCAAATTTTTCTAGATAGAGGAACCTCGAGATGGCCAAAATTATTGGTATGACCCTATTAATATTTTTGTTTTTGTGTTATGCCTCTGATTGATGTTATATGTTTTATCTTATAAATTAAACGATTTTTAATTGGATTGGGCAATGAATGGCCCCAAGGAGGATTAGCTAATGATGTAATTGAACTGGAGGGGTGGGGGTTACCCTCTAGAAAATTTTAGAGTAATTGTCTTGAAGGTCCATTAAAATGTTATCAACTTGATATATTGTGTTTCTTATATATATTATTTGCTTTAATTTAAAAAAACCTTTGAGATTAAATTTTTACCTGTTTATTAAAATTTTATAATTGTATACTTTTGAAAAGTAACTAGCTACAATTCAAGTTGCATCATTAAAAAGGTAATTATACTTAGAGGTTGCATCATTGAAATGCATTTAAAGTACTTTATAACTATTTAAAGTTACATTTTAAAATTGCCAGTTACTTTTAAAACTATTTATTTAACTAATCATCTTTAGTATAAATTTTTGTTATACAAAATAATTTTGTTATTTGCCAAATTTTAATCAAAGAAATTTAAATGAAATACAATTTAAATAAAGAAATTATTACCTTATTTTATTTGACTGAAAAAATCTACCACATTTGCACAGAAAAAATATGTAAATAACAAATTACAATATTTATTCTTTATAATAATTTTAGTTCGATAAATTTTTTTTGACTATTATTTTCAACTTTGGTGTCAAAATTCGAGCGTTTTTCTTCCAAAATAAGCCTCTTTTGACTAAAAAAAAACTTTCTATAGGAGTGCTAGATGTAAATACGACATTTTATTTAATAAACAATCATTTTAAAGATCACATCAAGATAATAAATAAAATATATTATTTAACATATTTATGAAGTAATATGAAAAGGTTACTTTTGTCTTTACAATACAACTTAACTAGTAACGTCACCTTTTACTAGTTATTTTACAACTATAAATTATGTAACAGTTTAATTTGCGATATGGGCATATCTATTAGGGAAGACCGGGGATATAATGAACCCGGGGGCTAGACGTGGCTTTATTTTCCAGAGTATTAAACTCTAAGGGATAATTTTGTTTTACCAAAACTATATAATTATATAATGCATATGCGGCTATAATTTTTATTTCTATCGGACAGCTTGAAGAACTTTTATAATGCATTTTATGATTCGTACCTACAAAAGTAACTTTTTAAACCTTTACTATTTTTCAAAAATAAAGATTAATATAAAATTTTAGCACCCAAAAATCATCTTATATAAAAGAAAAAATTCTATTTTATAGAATATCAATTTACCCGAACAAAATTGATATTATAAATATTTCAAAATATGATCTTAATCAAAGTGGTGGCATTTGGGCTATTTTTATGAGGTTAGAACTAGCCTTTTTTTTAAATTTTAATATGCAAATAAAAGCCATGGAGAGAGCAAATAAAAGAAAAAAATTAAAAAATGTTATTAATAAGAAAAACAATTGTTTAGTGTGCAAAAAAATTATTAAAATCATCATAACAATCAAGACTGATTTCAATGTCGTAAATGTAGTTATTGTTCACATGGAAGATATTGCAATTTTAATCCTTTTTTTATTTGCAAAGATTGTAAATAATGTTCTTATTTATTTGTTTATAAATAAATTTATATATTACTTTTATGCTTTAAATCATTAAATATGTACTAATAAAAAAATATAAAACTTATATGGAAAACTAAGCAGGTTTTACCAAAGGTTCGTTGGTCCCTGGGTAGGGTTCACTCGTTCCCAAAAAAAATTTCTAAAAAATAACATTTTGAAAAAAGTATTAGACATATATTTTTGAAATTAAACCTACCTTAAAACTAATAGAGCTGAACAAAATGAGATATTTTATATTAAAAATGATAAAGTACTTTTATTTTTATTAAGGCTTACCTTTTTGGGTTCGCCATAACCCCGTCTTCCTTATAATGGTTTAATAAGAAAGAATTGTATATATTAATAAATTATTTATGTTCAAATTTGATTTCTATATAATTTTCTGTAAATTAGGATCTAATCCGATTTTCATAAGAAAATTTAAAACGGGCAAGAATAAATGATGAGATCCCTTGGACATTTGATTTTTATAATGCCATAATATTTAATAATATATTTTTTTTATTAACTATTCGTAACATTAAGTTAAATAAATTATAAAATTCCAAATCATCGTGTAAATTTTTATAAAAAAGATTTACTTTTATAAACTGCGCTTGTCTAAATGAAATGGACTTTCGTATATGTACGTTTACAGTTTCTGAAATTTATAGGGTATAGATTCTACACAAATATGAATATACAATTCCTGAAAAGTCAGATTATGTGATTCAATAAATTATTTAAAGTTGAATTAACAATCATTTACTGAACACATTTTTTTTGCAGGTAACGAATTCCAATATGTGCCCATCCTTTAAATTTCAGACAATTTTACTACAGATTTTTAAATAAATTTTAATTTACGTGTATACACAATACAAGTATCGTAAGATTCACTTTATTGTTTTTTGGTTAATAAGATTATTTCATTATATTAAGAAATTCAAATATTATTTCCCAAAACTTTAAATTTATAAATCTACATTTATAAATTTTGCAAAATATAACTTTTAAAACATAAAGTTAGTATTTTAAATTTGTAAAATAAAGATATTCAATATGGGTTTAAAAAAGAAAATACATATCTTTTAAAGGAATTTTGGAAAATCTACCAAAATTAACCTTCCTATATAATATATATACATTTTTCACATGTTTTTTGATTTTTTATAATTATACATATTAATTATTAAATATCGTTTGAGATATCTATCATACGAATTTTTTGTATGCCAATTCGAACTCTCACTCAGAAAATAATGAAATTACAAGATAACTTTTATAATAATAAAAAAAAATACAAAATTAATTTAATTAAAAATTTAGAAATCGGGAGACAAATTTGTTTGTGAAGCAATTTATATATATCGAGAAAATTTATTTTTAATTATAAAATAATATGTTTCTAAAAAACATTCTTTATAAAAAATATGGAAACATAAAATTCTTCTCTTTTATAGCAAGTGATTTCGCTACCATTTATTTTTTAATTAGTCTTCTAGTCATTTTTCATTAATTAAGAAAGGGTGTTTTTTACAATACAAATATTAAATGTAATTATATCGGTTTCAACCAGAAAAACAAACATAGCACGTATTTTTCGGATAAAATAAATAGAATGTGGCATATTTATTAAAAAATCCTTTAATTTCATGATTGCTTATTTTATAAGCTTATGTAAAAATATATTGAAATATAATATAGACTTAGAGTCAATCCAACAATGGCATACATAAAAGAGGGGGTAGGGTCAATCCTACAACTCCCCCCCCCCTCAAGAAAAATAATAGATAAAATTATTAATTTTTGTATTCCTAATACTTTTATAATATACCTAGACAAAAATTTGTTATTTTAAATGATAAAATCCCCCTTAATTTCCTAATTAAAATCATCTCAGAAATTTATTCTTCTATTTAATAAAGATCGTGAAAATCTCTTAAAAATCTACTAAACAATACTAGAAACATTTTATTTTAAAATCAAATTTTCGCATTATATTTTGATATTATAAAATTTTTTAAAAAAAATGAAAAAGGTGACTGACTCTTCCGAAAATACTAAAATTCGTATGGGATCAACGTTTAAACTTTCTATTTTCAATTCTAAGAGCGCACTTAGTATTGGTATTGTTAAGCAATCGCACACCTTTGGGGTTAAAAAAATCATCTATTGTAATCGTTCTTAATATCACCATAATCAA